TTATGATTTTTTCACATTTTTGTTTGTTTTCTTTTGCCCACTGACTTTTTTTCTACTTAATATAAACTGCTTTTTAAATATTTAATAATTTCTGTTTTGTATCATGCTTTTAGGCAGTCCTTATCATCTCAAAGTTACATATTCATCTATATGTTCTTTCAATTTTTTCATTTCTTGCTAGTTTAAGTTTTGGTATAAGACAGGAACTTAATTTTATTTATTTGCCCCAAATGTTTTCACATTTCATCTTTTAATCACTTACTTGAAATGCCGTTTTTATCATATATTAGAATCTTGATTCTGCCGGGTCTATTTCTGCACCTTTCTCCCAAGAATCTCTGTGTTTCATCCAAATATTTGTGAAATCACAGATTCACTATGATTTTCATATTTAATGTGATCTTTATAATTTTTTATAGCACAATGCTCTTTTCATTTAATATAATCCTAGAATATGTGATATCTGTCTATTTAGGCAAGACCACTTTCACTCTTCTTCTAAATTATTCTTTGCTATTCTCAAGGGTTTATTCTTTGAATGAATTTCAGAATTACTGAATCAGGTTTTAATCCTGTTCTGTAGGAAATTTGATTGGGATTATATTAAATGTATACCTTGGCTGGGCTTGGTGGCTCACGCCTGTAATCCCAGCACTTCAGGAGGCCGAGGCGGGCAGATCACTTGAGGTCAGGAGTTTGAGACCAGCCTGGCCAATGTTGTGAAACCCCATCTCTATTAAAAATACAAAAATTAGCAGAGCGTTGTGGTGGTCACATGTAATCCCCACTACTCAATAGTCTGAGGATTGAGAATCACTTAAACCCGGGAAGAGGAGTTTGCAGTAAGCTGAAATTGCGCCACTGCACTTCAACCTGGACAATAGAGTGAGACTCAGTCTCAAAAAAATAAAATAAATGTATACCTTAAGGGAAGAATAGGTATCTTTACATAGTCCCACATTTTAGTATTCACTATTATAAAGGATAATTGTTTGATAGTCTCACTGACTAGTCTGAAAATTCATTTAATAGTTTTATGTTGCCAGTGTGTGTATTCAAAATCTTGCATGAATAATGATTAAATGTGCATCTGTTGGAAAGTAAATGGATAAAAAGACAGGCTATTATAGAAAATATGCTCTCCCTTTGATTCTGAGACTTTAGACAAATAGAAAATATTTCCCAAATATGAAATAGAGAAAAACATGAAGATGAATGCAGTAATAACTTTTATTGCTGTAAAACTAGTATTAAGTCCACTAGTAAACTGTTTTTTATTCTTGGGAATTTAATTCTCATAAGAGTTCTCATAAAATATTCATAATAGTATTTATGTTAGTAACATTGTGAACTAGCTGGATTAAATTTAAAGCTATTTACAAGTGACTTCTCCGTTATCAATTAACTTTGATACATAGAATAATCAGCTTACTCAGGTTTTTTTTCTTCTTAAAAGCAGCGGTTTTATTGTGTTTGGTCCACAGTCTGTATTTCACATTATTTCATGGTACAGGGCCCCTGAAATGGGGGTCCCTGTGCAGTACTTTGTGGGGTGTGTGGCTGGGGGTGATGAAGCAGTATAGCTGGTCAGGCCCAGAAGGGGAGAAGGAGGGCTGGGGGCTCCTTAAAACCTACTGAGGGGCCAGGCATGGTGGCTCACACCTGTAATCCCAGCACTTTGGGAGGCTGAGGCAGGCAGATCACCTAATGTCAGGAGTTCGAGACCAGCCTGGCCAACATGGGGAAACCCAGCCTTTACTAAAAATATACAAAAATGAGCTGGGTGTGGTGGTGCAAGCCTGTAGTCTCAGCTACTCAGGAGGCTGAGGCAGGAGAATTGCTTGAACCTGGGAGGCAGAGGCAGTGAGCTGGGATCACACCACTGCACTCCAACCTGGGCGATAGAGCAAGACTCCATCTCAAAAAAAAAAAAACCTGTTGAAAGCCACAGTGGGGCTGGGGGATTAGCATAGAGAGGGGTCAGACTTAGCCCCAACAACTCAGAATTCCACTGCCTTGTATGAGCCTCAGTTTCCCCACGAGACCCCGTGGTAGGTCTGAGGGTCTGAGGCCTATGGATCTGAGGATCCTAGGAAAATCCAGCAATTCAGAAGCCTGAGATATTTTAGCATCGTGGCTGTGTCCCCTCTCCCAGGGGACTTACTTCCCAGCAACCTTTCTGCTGTCCCCACCCCATTCCTTGGGGGAAAAAATACATATTTTTTTCTTTTGTTAATAATTCCTGAAGCTTTTGCAGGTACAGAAACCACAAACTGATCTGTTGACAAAAGGGGAAAGAGGAGAGGCAACTGGAAACTTTTGGGGACCAGTTCCTTTCCATGTCCAGGTCTCTTCTCCCCAGCGCAGCTTGGCCCACAACCTAGATGTGCCAGCAGGGACCCTTACCCTATACGCATTGGGATACAGCCTGGCCCCTTCCCCCATAGCCAGATGGCTCAATCCTGCAAAGGAACCAAGGCAAGGGGTGGGGAAAACCCTGCTGCCTGATCCGTTGCTGCCACTCACAGATCCTCGGTTGATTGGCTGCACCGAACAGGTTTAAAAAAACAAAGAAAATACAGAAAAACCCAAAAACTCCGACAGGGAGACAATGTGGGGAGAGAGCATGCAAGGTCAGATTTTCTTATATAGCTAAACAGTTTGATAACAAATTGTAAATGAATCTCATAAAATATCGTATATACTTGCCAAAAAATGTAACCATTACCCTACCTTAAATATAAGAAATAAATATTAAAGAAAAACGATGCAATTTTTATGAGAAAAGGTTTACATAGTCTACTTTTTGTGTGTTGGATATATCTAACAGATAAAAAATAATTGAACTTAAAGTTCACTTTATAAGGAATAATGAACTAACAGTTTTTCTTTTTCTTTTTCTTTTTTTTTTTTTTTTTTTTTTTTGAGACGGAATTTCGCTCTTGTTACCCAGGCTGGAGTGCAGTGGTGCAATCTCGGCTCACTGCAACCTCCGCCTCCTGGGTTCAGGCAATTCTCCTGCCTCAGCCTCCTGAGTAGCTGGGATTACAGGCACGTACCACCATGCCCAGCTAATTTTTTGTATTTTTAGTAGAGACGGGTTTCACCATGTTGACCAGGATGGCCTCTATCTGTTGACCTCGTGATCCACCCACCTCGGCCTCCCAAAGTGCTGGGATTACAGGCTTGAGCCACCGCACCCGGCCAACAGTTTTACTTTTAATGGGAATTATGTTTAACAGATGACCATACAGTCTTTGAAGATATTAAGTTCATTTACATTTCTCCACATATTAAAATTTCAGCAAATGTAGGAGTAAATTAATGATAGTGTCTAAGTGAGTTAATATTCTTAAAACACTTAGAACGTTCCTAACACATAGTATAACTCCGTTAAGTCAATCAGTCCATCAAGTGAGCTCCAGTAATTGAAAAACGAGCTCCTTTTTACAGCTTTATACTGGATACTGGATACTGAAAGCTTACTTTTGTTATCATGTATTTGAATTATTAACTTTTTCTTCAATACTTTTTATATTCACTGTGCTGGGAAGACCACAAAAGAAAAGGATTACGTCTGAATTTAGTCCATTTGAAAAAGAGCACCAAAATGTGATTTGAATGTTATGTATAGTAATGTTTCATTATGTGTATAATGATTGAGTAAATTAAGTAAACGATAAAATATTTACATTTCTACATTTTAGCACCTCAGTGTTCTGTAATACAGTCTCCCATTGTTTTTCTCAATGTGAAAATCAGGGCAGAAATTAAGGAACTTCAGCATTATAGATAATATTCTCTTTTTTAAAAGAAGCTCTGAGATCTGTTGGTCTGAGAGTCCTAGGATGGGTGTGATGGGCACATAGGAGTTAATTTTATTGTTATGCTTTTATAACATATATTAGATGTTCTTCTATATACAACAATGATTTCATAATAGAAATTGTTTTTAAAATAGACAGAAATTGTTAATAAATGCTATTCCCTGGCTGGGCAGGTGTGGTGCCTCATGCCTGGTAATCCTACCAATTTGGGAGGCCAAAGCGGGTGAATCACGAGGTCAGGAGATGGAGACGATCCTAGCTAACACAGTGAAGCACCATCTCTACTAAAAATACAAAAAATTAGCTGGGCATGGTGCCATGCGCCTGTAGTACTAGCTACTCGGGAGACTGAGACAGGAGAATCACTTGAACCTGGGGGAGGCGGAGGTTGCAGTGAGCCAAGATCACACCACTACACTGCACTCTAGCCTGGGTGACAGAGCAAAACTCTGTCTCAAAAAAAAAAAAAAGTATATTCCCCAGTAACACCAAAACTAAACTATGTATTTATTGTGAAATTGTTAAACTTGTCCACATGAATATTTTATATTAAAGCAAATATGATAATCTGAACTTTTTGTATAAAAATGAACATTACCTGGCCGGGCTCGGTGGCTCAAGCCTGTAATCCCAGCACTTTGGAAGGCCGAGGCGGGTGGATCACGAGGTCAAGAGATCGAAACCATCCTGGTCAATATGGTGAAACCCCGTCTCTACTAAAAATACAAAAAATTCGCTGGGCATGGTGGCGCGTGCCTGTAATCCCAGCTACTCAGGAGGCTGAGGCAGGAGAATTGCCTGAACCCAGGAGGCGGACATCGCAGTGAGCCGAGATCGCGCCATTGCACTTCAATCTGGGTAACAAGAGCAAAACTCTGTCTCAAAAAAAAAAATAAACATTACCTTTAAAATTGGTAATAGACTAGTACACTTAGAAGAAGAATTAATTAAAAATAAGTATAAGAAAGTGGCCATTAGTTTGCATCTTCTTCCAATGATGATTATCACTATATCAGTTATTTCTAATAAGTTTGAGCCATGGTTATCTTCTCTGAGTACACATATTTAAGTTTTGCCTATTTCTCCAAAAGATATTTTGGAATATTAGTTGTGATTTTACTGTTAAGTGTCATTTTAATGGTATAAAATATTTGTATTTTTTCTTTTTGTAAGAGTCAGAATGGATAATCAATACGCCTCTGTGGCCTTGTGATAGGCTGGATGTGCTTAATCGACATAATTTGCTCTGTACAATTGCACATGACATCTTAGCCAAGAGCCTTTTTAGACAGGCATTTGAAGTTTTGCAGAATCTACCAGGTTTTCAGAATTCTCAAGGTATGTTTTTTAAAAGTCTAACTTAATTATCTATTGCCCATCTGGTGTTTAACTGTTAATAAGAAACAGTTGTCCACCTGTTTTGATTGAGTTTTCTATTCCAGCATATTTTTCAATGAAGTCGTTTTAGGTACAATGTGTTCTCTGCAAATTGAATATGTTTTCCTGATGGTTAAAAAAAAAATCAGAGATGTTTATCTTTTGTTGTTTGCCAGCAGTTCCTAAGAGAAACATTTTTTTCATTCCTTTTTTCCTACTTCTGCCAAGTCATCAGCAAATAATATGTTTAAATGCCCCGAGCAAGCTTTTTCTCTTATCACTGAATAAATGCAGAACTTAGTTTACATTAACTAGGAATACAGGTAAACCAGAATGAAATGGAAGAAATGAAACAGATGCCAAGCTCCAAAAAATACCAGTGTAGGCAATGGTAGTTAGTACCCTTGAATGTTGGGTATCCATGAGCAAAAGCTTTGGGTCAAGAAGGAACTGTGTGATAGGTTCAGAGGATGATGAAAATATTAACTTCAGGGCCTCCCCTCAGTACTTTCATCATACTATTTATAAATTTTTATTTTTCCACTTAATTCCACTATGCTCCTGTATTATAATTAGCATTCTTACCTGTTTCTCCTTCTACAGAGTGATCTCAGTCACGGTGGTAATATTTTCTTTACCTTGGTATTCCTGGCTAATGGCTGCTATCTCGCAATCTCTTAATATACAGTTAGTTGGTAATAAAACAAAGTAGTAATAGGGAGATTAGACAGATCGTTGTGCCAGAGTTTGGGAGACCTAAAGGAGTTTTCTTCTCTTGTGTATAATAAAAAGGGGTCACTAGAGTTTTGGGTCTAGGGAGTGAGATAATGAAGTTGGTGTTTCAGGAAGTTAGTGTTTAGGGAAAGACTAAAAGTAGAGAGATTAATTTCCTGATAAGGCCTGGATTAACTAAAAGATTCTAAAACTATAAAGAACTACAGTCTAGCTCACAAACCCAACTGACTGAATATAGGGAATAAAAAAAAAAGTCTCTAAGATGACTTCTCTAAGAGTGACTAAAGGAATAGAAAACCCATTAAAGGATTGTTTTAAATTTGAGAGTAAATATTTATTAGGGGATGATTTCTTTTTAGTCAAGGGATATATAAGGCTAAGGTCTGAACTGTATATAACGCAAACAGAATCGAGAAATTATTCAAGACATTATGGATACAGTCACATGTGGGGATCAAATACAGAGGTGTTAATGCAGCCTCTGAAACTTTGTCAAGCTTTTTATCTTCTCCATTGCAAAGGAAGTTAATGGTTTTGCTTTTGTCAAATGCTTTTTTGTTTCTTACTTAGAGAATATGTAAGATAGGTTGGGCCTAGTGGCTCATGGCTGTAATCCCAGCACTTTGGGAGGCCAAGGCAGGCAGTTCACTTTAGCCCAGGAATCTGAAACTAGTCTGGGCAACATGGTGAAACCCTGTCTCTACAAAAAAATATAAAAATTAGCCAGGCCTGGTGGTGTACACCTGTAGACGCAACTTACTTAGGAGACTAAGGCTAGATGATGACTTGAGCCCAGGAGGTAAAGATTGCAGTGAGCCAAGATCATGCCACTGCACTCCAGCCTGGCCAACAAAGTGAGACCCTGTCTCGGAAAAGGAGAAGAAAAATAAAGAGAATATATAAGATGATTGTGTTTTAGTGACTATGACTCCTATAATGGGTAAGAAAAGGTCAAGGAGAGGAGAAAGAAAAAGACGTATAAAATGAAAGTTTGAGATACTAAATCAATTTTATTATATCATTTTTTTCATTTCAGAAACTGTGGAAGTCTCACAATATAGCATTCTTTTTAATAAGCTTCTAGATTCCTGTATAGAAAGCAACAGTCTTGGTACATCATCCTCTGTGGCAGAATTCATGATTTCAAAGAGCGTACCTATTGATTTTTCCTTTCTTAGAAGATTAATTACTTCTTTAGGAAGGAGTTGTTTATGGCTCAAAGCCAGAGCCCACTACAAAAGTAAGTTACTTTTAAAATGTTTTGATATATTGGTTTATAATTTTATTATCTGACAATTTATAATATTTAAGATTAGATATTTATATATATTAAAAGAGCATTAATACATATTCAAATATAGTGGTCTCAATAGATCTGTGCTCTCTTTTGAAACCTACTGTTTCTCTTGTTTCCAATTGTTTTCCTTGTTTCCAGTCTTTCCAATTTTTAATCTTTATTTCTTGCACACTAGCTTTTCCACTAGAGGGCGAGCAAAGGGAACAAATGACAGGATTGAACCAGTTTGGCATACCTTATAAATAATACAGGAGTAAAACAATTGGGTAGAATGAAGTTTAAAGAATATCTGTGTTTTCATTTATCTATGCTATATCCCTCATTCTTATAACTAAGAATATTCAATAGCAGGTCACAACAGAAGCACAAAGGCTGCCATAACAATGCAACATGGTATGTTTTTCACATGGCTTTTAGTTATAGAACGTTGTTAATCTATTTACAGCTGTTGTTCTCTAACAAATAAACCTGGAAAACGAGTGCTTTCCCTAGTCCAAGCCACCTCGCAGGTATTTTAATTAGAAAGTAATTCCATGTAGGTTCTAAAGCTAGAAAAGAATTGTTTTTTTGCCTTCATGCAGTGATTTGTCTTCAATTACCATTTCTACCACTTTCATGTATATAACAAATATTTATGTGCCTACTCTGTGTCACCCTGTACCAGATGTTTCAAACATCCTAGCCACTGCTACCTGTTTTTCAGACAACCAGCTGTGATCAGTTTAGCACGTGGTAACTTTTTTTCCCCAATGAAATGGGAAAGAAAATATTAGGGCACATTATGAGTAGTAAGGTTAATTGTTTGATAAAATTTTCACTTTAGTTTCATATATGCACATATATATGCTGGGTCATTCTGTAAAATATGTTTCTTGTTAAGTTATAATCAAAAGAAGTTTTAAGCTGAGTTTTTTAAAAGGGGTGATCCGAAATTTAGAGGAAAGATAAAACTGTTTGTTCATAATACCTAATTTCAGTTTTGTGGTTGTGTTTCAACTCTTACCTTCAGACTTCTAGAAACCATACACACACATATATATGTGTGTGTGTGTGATTTTAGTTTCTAGAATTGAAGTTAATGAGAATAATTTATCAGAAGGTGTTTATATGCCACAGGAACAAGTATAAGCTCAGACATTTAAATGAGATTTCTATACATATTTCTATTTTGTAGTTGGAAATAAAATTTTATATTAAAGGATCCTAACAATCATTTATTTAAAAACTTTTTAACAACTTTATAGAAATATAATTCAATTGCCATATAACTCATTTAATGTAAACAAGTCAATGGTTTTACTGTATTTACAGAGTTGTTTAACCATCACCATAATCAATTTTAGAATATTTTCTTCACACCAGAAAGAAACCTCATATTCATTAGCTATCATTCCTCATTGTGCAAATCTATTCAGTCCTAGTAAGGATTACTTTTAAAGATTTTTTTTAACAGTATGTTAAAGCAATTAATTTCTATGTACAATACAGTACCTTTGTTATTGGAACTTTTTTTTTCTTTTTTTGAGACAGAGTCTTGCTCTTTTGCCAGACTGGAGTGCAGTGGCATGATCTCAGCTCACTGCAACCTTCAACTCCCTGGTTCCAACACGATTATCCTGCCTCAGCCTCCCAAGTAGCTGGGATTACAGGCATGTGCCACCACGCCCAGCTAATTCACAACATTGTGAAATGCCCAGAGATGGGGTTTCATAATGTTGGCCAGGATGGTCTCGATCTCCTTACCTCGTTATCCACCTGCCTCAGCCTCCCAAAGGAACTTTTTCTTTTATCTAATCACACGTTTCTTATTTCATAAGCAGTATAACGTCTGAGACTTATGCAAGTGAGGTTACAGGGCAAAGAGTCTTTTTGCTTTTTAAAGAATGTACCTAAATTATAAACCATGATTAAAAATGAGTATTATAGCCAAATGAGTAATGTATAGCCACTGATCAGTCTTCAAAATGTCTCATTTACTAACAACATTGACATTAAAATAGTATTGGAACTCCTTTTGGATTTACTTCAGACATAGCTTAACACTTGCAGGAAGAGCCTTTCAATGGCATGTAATAATGTCTAGTAGTACTTTATTTGGGACTTAAGGCTAGCTTTCTTCAAGACACTGTTAAGACTTGGTGCCAGTGCCTTTGTTTTGACTTTTTTTAAAACTTTTTTTCTTTTAGTATTTTTTATGGCTTTATTGAGATAATTTCACATATAATGAAATTCATTCACTTAAAGTATATAATACATTTGTTTTTGTATAGTCACAGAGTCATGCAGCCATCACCACCATTTAAGTTTAAAACATCTTTAACACCTCCAGGAAAAGAAACTTCGTATAAGCATTTCTTCTCCATTCCCTGGTTGTCTCCTCTTCCACCCTAGTCCTACAATAACTAATTTATTCTCTGTCTCCATGAATTTGCCCATTCTAGACAGATCACATAATGGAATCAGTCAATACATGGGTTTTAGTGACTGGTTTTTTTTTTTGGAGACACAGTCTTACTCTGTCACCCAGGCTGGAATGCAGTGGCACAATCTCCACTCACTGCAACCTCCACCTTTCAGATTCAAAAGGTTCTCCTGCTTCAGCCTCCTGAGTAGCTGGGATTATAGGCATGCACCACTATGCTAGCTAATTTTGTATTTTTAGTAGAGACAGGGTTTCACCATGTTAGCCAGGCTGGTCTCGAACTCCTGAGCTCAGATGATCCTCCTACCTCAGCCTCCCAAAGTGCTGCAATTATATGGGTGAGCCACCACACCCACTGTGACTGGCTTCTTAGACTAGTATTTTTAAATTTCAATGTTGTAGCATGTATCAATACTGTATTCCTTTTTATTGCTAAACAATATTCTATAGAATAGAATTTGTTTATTCTTTGGTTGATGGACATTTGAGTTGTTTTCACTTTTTGGCTATTGTGAATTGTGCTACTTTGAATATTTACATAAGTTTTTTATGGGTATATATGCATTCATTTTTCTTGGGAGAATTGCTGACTAATACAGTAAATCTATATTTAGCTTTTTGCCAAACTCCCAAACTGTTTCCCGAAGAAGCTGCACCATTTTATATTTATACTCCCACCAGCCATGTATGGGATTTCCTGTTTCTTTATATCTTCACCAACAGTTGCTACTGTATTTTTTATTTTAGCCTTCCTCCTAGTGGGTGTTAAGTAATATATCATTATAGTTTTGGTTTTCATATACTTAATGACTAATGATGTTGAGGACCTTTTCATACAGTTATTGGTCATTTGTATATTTTCTTTTAAGAGTGTCTATGAAATCCTTTGCCCTTTTTTGATTGGGTTCTTTTGGTTGTAAGACTGTATTCATACATACATACATGTTTACATATGCATTTATAGACACGCTGGATACAAATCCCTTTTCAGATATGTGAATTACAAATATTTTGTCCATCCTGTGAGTTGTCTGTTACTTTCTTGATGGCTTTGCCTTGCTTTCATGCCAGACTAATCAAGAGGAGATTGTCCAGGGACAGCAAAGTTGCCTTCCCCGTGTTCCTGATTTGTTCTCCCTTGTCCTAAAAATACTGCTTTTCTCTCAGAACTGAGAAATAAGGAGAGAGATGTTATTAGTGTGTCTTTCCATTACTTCCCACCCCCAAAATCAAATGCATTTTTCTTTTCACATTTCATTATGAGTGAAAAAAATCATATTAGTAGATTTCTCCTTAGTTTGTTATTTTCTATTTTTAAATTCTGGTAAGAAAATTTAAATAATAGTTAACAATAAAATAATAGTTAATAGCAATAACAGTTTGTTGCTCCTGGCAGTGACCTAGGGAGGTAGGAATACCTAGTGGTTAGGAATCCAAAATCTGGAGCCAGAAAGTGGGCACCCCATGAAGGCTTGAAGAGCCTGAGTGCTTACCAAAGCCCCTCATCCATAACATGGGAGGAATTGTACCTAATTTAAAAGGTAGCAGATTGTCAGGTTAAACTGGGGTAAATTTACCTGGCTCATCATGGCAGGTATTCAAACAGTAGCCATTACCCACATTAGAAAGATTTCTTCAAGAAACTTATCCTAACAAAACATTTTTTTTTCTGAAACAGAGTTTCGTTCTTGTTGCCCAGGCTGGAGTGCAATGGTGCAGTCTCTGCTCACTGCAGCCTCCATCCCCCAGGTTCGAGCAGTTCTCCTGTCTCAGCCTCCCAAGTAGCTGGGGCTACAGGCACACACCAGCACGCCCAGCTAATTTTTGTATTTTTGGTAGAGATGGGGTTTCACCGTGTTGGTCAGGATGGTCTCGATCTCTTGACCTTGTGATCTGCCCACCTCAGCCTCCCAAAGTGCTGGGATTACAGGCATGAGTCACCACGCCCAGCCCTTCTCACTTTTTATTTAATGTTTCAAAAGCACTTTACAAAGAATAATGTCAGATATAAGAGTATAAGCTCTCACTATCATGTAATTTGTTAATCTACTTCTAATGTGAAGATTTATTCTGTGTAAGTAATTATCACCTGTGGGTATTTCAGAAATCTAGTTTTTTCCTATTGGGTTTTAGTAAAGTTTGACCTATTATTTGATTTTTCAGGTGCTCTTTCCTTGGGTTGCTACCCACAACTGGAAGGAAATTTATACCGAAAACTTCTTCTAATTCCATCTTATTTATCTGAGATTGAAATGCTTTTAGCAATGGAAATCTTCATGGTATCTAATGCTAGTAGTATTCAGAGTCCTGGAACTTCTACACAGATACTACAGATAGTATTGAAAAGGTTGGTTGACATACCTTTAACTGCATTCTGAATGTAGATCATGGCTCCCCACACCCACCCTAGGATGCAAATGTTTTATGTATTTTTATATATACATATATATTTATGTGTATATTTATATATGTACTGTGTGTGTGTGTGTGTGTGTGTGTGTGTGTGTGTTGCAAACTCTCTTATCATTTAAATTGAGAAAGGATTAGACCTGTTTGAGGCTTAAAACCGAACAATTTAGTAGCATTCAGTAAACACTTTAGCAACTTCAAAGATACAGATATTCAAAGATGTTCAAAGAGATGGATCCTTTTTAGGTACCAACCTTTCTTCTGTTTAGAGATCAGTACCTATAAAAATCTTTATCTCTGGTCAACTCAAACGATCAAAGAACTAGGATCTAAAAGGGAAATACGTGATCATTTATTAGGTTCAGTTACGAATACGATTGAAAATAAAGCCATCAGCCTAGTTTCTACATTTTATAATGCTATATATGCATAAATATTATAAACTAGGTACTGTACCAGAGTGACACCCTTTCACATAATTTTGTTTGGAGTCCTAGAGTTTAGGCATACAGTAGATGGTGTGCCTAAGTGGTGGTATGCCATATGATTTATTGTCAGCTTTATCCAGGAAACTTGCAATATAAAGATCTCCTGGGAATCCTGTTTTAGAGATTTTTGACAAGAATTTTGCTTCAGTTTACTGGTGTGACAAACCAGATCCTCTGGTTGAAAATTACATTAGTTATCTATTGCTGTGGAATAAATTATCCCTGGCCCCAATGGCTTAAAACAGCAAATAGTATCTTAGTATCTGTCAGTCAGAAATTTCAGAGAGGTTTAGCTGGATGGTACTGGCTCAGGATTTTCCACATAGTTGGAGTCAGGATGTTGTCAGAAACTTCAGTCACCTACGTGATAGCTTGCTGGAGCTAGAGGATCCTTCCCTTCTTGTTGGGTGGAAGCCTCAGTTCACCACATGGGCCTCTCCATAGGTTGGTTAAGTGTTAAATGATATTACTGACAGCGAATTTCTCCCAGAATGAGTGATCCAAGAAAGAAAAAGCAAGGAGGAAGCCACAAGGTCTTTTGTGACCTATGTCAAGCAAAAACTGTAAAGAGTTTGAGATTTTACCCTAATTGCAAGCTCCAAGCTAACCTGCCACAGTTTCATAGATGGTAGCATAAGACATAAGACTCCTGTGTTGGAAACAGAGGATTTTATTACTTGTGGTACAGCAAACAGCATGATTATCTACATATTTGCATCATTTCCTCTTGCTCCTATGTCCCATAGATGGGTCCACATGGATACCTACATATGCCATGAGTTCTGTAACAGGAGAGGAGTGCCCAGCTTAGGAGACCCAAATCTTTTATGAGTAATAAGCATGCCTGCCCTTTGCTTTGCAGTGACGTACTATCTCCATCTTCTAAGACTGTGAGCATACCTGCCCTTTGCTCCAGAAGAAGAAACTATCTTTATCTTTCAAGGTTGTTCACTGTGTAATCCTTGTAATTTAGAACAAAGGGTAGGCAGTGACTCTTGCAAAACTTCACAAACTCAAAAGACCTATGGAGAGTTGTCATCCAACAACCTAGTATCCAAAGTTACATCCTGTCACTTCTGCTCTCCTTTGTTTGGTGTAGGTGAGTCTTTTGGTCCAACCCACACTTAAGGGGAGAAGAATTAGGAGTTAAATTATTTTTGTTCTACCTTCAAAAAAAAACTAAAATTATCCTTTTTTCTTATAGATGTTTTCCCCCTACCCCCCAAGGGCTTCCTTATTTACCACCGTGCACTATGGTGGCTAAGGCATCTAAGCTCCTCATTATCCTAATTAGGTCATGTTTTTCCTCATAGCTTTCTATTCCCCACACACATATAACTTCTTTATTTATTTTTTGAATTTGGAAGGTATTTGTGACTGTAGTGCATAACTAGTGACATGCCTAATGAATCTTTGACTTTGTCCAAGCCAATGTATTTTCTCTATTGTTATAATCATGCTGAGCCCTGCCTTGTTACATTTACCTCTATGAGAATGTTATTCATCTTTAGACTTTCAAAACTGCACATGGTTGGCATCTGTACTACCTACCAGATTCCTGGGTACTTCTTTCTAAGCTAGAATGTACTGGAAGGCACCTGACAAGCCTTTCCTCCCTGTAACCACTGGTTCCTGTTTCAAGTGCAAGTCCTTACTCCTGTCACTCTGGACCACATAGGTACCAAGAGTAGGAAGCAGTGAACACAAAGAAAAAAGTGATGTTTAATGTAACAGCCACATCTCTATTTTAAATAGTTACCACTCCCTTCCCCAGAAGAAAAAGCTATATAAGGTATGAATTTTATGCAAGTCAGTGTAGTCACAATTGATTGCAGATAGAGCTGTTAGAATAATTATTAGAAAAATTAATTTTAGCACTTAAGAAAGCACTTTAAATCAGGATTGAAGGAAATAACCAGAAATGTAATAAAGGCCCTACAATTTATTACCAAACATTAGCTACATATTAAGTATTTGCTTATAACTAAAATTAGTCAGTGTCAAAGTAAAACTAACATGTGAATGTTAATTCTAAACTGGATTACATTTAGTATTTTATGCGTTCTCATGAATAATTTTGCAGTTATTAACTTTCAGAATACAAAGATACAGGTAATTAGCTGTGTTCTAGATCAGTATTTTTCAAACTGGGTTGCAGACTATTTGTGTGGTGAAATCAATGTAGGGTGTTACAACCAGCATTATTTTTTAAATCAGGGTTTTTGTCATCAGGGTAAGTCTTGTTTTGTGAAACTTTTTATTGTTTATGTATGAAGGTATATACTGGGTCATAATATGTCTTTTTTTTAAGAGTCTTGCTCTGTCACTCAGGCTGGAGTGCGGTGGTGCAATCATAGCTAACTGCAGCCTTAACTTCCAGAGCTCAAGCCATCCTCCCACCTCAACCTCCTGAGCAGCTGGGACTACAGGCCCACATCGTCATACCCAGCTAGTTTTTAAATTTTTTGTAGAGATGAAGGTCTCACTATGTTGCTCAGGCTGGTCTTGTACTCCTGACCTCAAGCGATCCCCCCAACCTGAGCCTCCAAGTGCTAGGATTATACCACCACCCCTGGGCAAAATGCCTTTCTTACTGTGGGTCATGATCAAAAATGTTTGAAAGCCACTTTTAGAAGAATATAGTGAAAAGACTATCATAGCTTAGTACTAGTAAATGTAAATGACTATCTTTTGAAGAAACTATATAGCATATCTGTTTAAAGAGTTTCTGACTTTATGAGTTATTCATTTTATAGGTGTGAAAACAACCAGTCTCAGAGGAATGATGATTATCAAGCCGCAGTAGAAAGGTTAATTATGGCTGCTCGTATATCGGATCCAAAGCTTTTCATCAAACACATGACTGTCAATATTAATAAGGAACAGGTTTATAGTTTGGAACATTGTTCTGTCCTGAAATGGTTAAAAGAGAATATGAAGTGGGCTGGAAAGGTTTGGCTTTTCAGTAACCATTAGTTAATAAAGTCTGCTCTTTTTTACGTTCAAGTAATCATTGTTGAAAATAAAAGGCAATAAAAATAAAGACAGTTTCACCATATTCAGCTTTTTGACTTTATTGACTTACAGCAAGTTAATAGTTTTAAAGCACTAAAAATTGTTATTGATATTTAATTTTCAGTGATTTTATTCACACTGAAAAGTGACTTTTCAGGTTACTTTTTGACTTTCAGAGAAACTAAGCATGATAAATCCCTATTTATTCTGAAATCCAAAACTGAATACTGTGCAGCATTTAATAAGTGGGAAACATAACTGGGAAAATATGCAAGCAGGTAACTGAAGTTTTCAGAAAAACATTTAGAGGTGTAAAATAAGTTTAGATGTTCTCAGTCCAGTCTCTGAAGCTATACTACATCTGTAATAGAGATAATAGTGAAAATAAACACTAAAATTCAGAATGCTTTCTGAATTATACCAAAAAAGTTTAAATTACTCTCAAAATGGTTTTCCTTTAGTGTATCTTAGAATACTAGATGAGTTTTGAAAATTTATGTACATTACAGTAGATATGACTAAAAGCAATTATTTTAAACAAATATACCCAGAACTTAATTAGTTAAACAAAGATTATTCTTTTCAAACCAATTTAGGAAGTTAAAACTCCTCTTTAGAAGTCATATTCAGAATCTGTAGCAAATTCTCCAAGGTGGTAGTCTTCATCTTTAATTTGATACTTTATTTTTTTTGAGACGGAGTTTCGCTCTTGTTACCCAGGCTGGAGTGCAATGGCGCATCTCGGCTCACCGCAACCTCCGCCTCCTGGGTTCAGGCAATTCTCCTGCCTCGGCCTCCTGAGTAGCTGGGATTACAGGCACGCACCACCGTGCCCAGCTAATTTTTTGTATTTTTAGTGGAGACGGGGTTTCACCATGTTGACCAGGATGGTCTCGATCTCTTGACCTCGTGATCCACCCGCCTCGGCCTCCCAAAGTGTTGGGATTACAGGCTTGAGCCACAGCGCCTGGCCTAATTTGATACTTTAAACCATAATTTAAAATTGTTTAGAGAAAAAAGTATGAATAAGGTAACAAGTTGTGACTAAGTGGACTGAAAGTCTTTCTTTCTTTTTTCCTTGAGAAAGTGTCTTACTCTGTGCCCAGGTTGGAGTGCAGTGGCATGATCACGGTTCACTGCCAACCCAACCTCCTGGGCTCAAGTGATTCTCACATCTTAGCTTCCCATGTAGCTGAGACTACAGGTATGCACCACAATGCCCAGCTATTTTTTGTGGGTTTTCGGTTTTTTTGTTTTTTGTTTTTGTTTTTTGAGATGGGGTTTTGCTATGTTGCCCAGGCTGGTCTTGAACTCCTGGACTCAAGCGATCTGCCCACCTTGGCCTCCCAAAGTGCTGGGATTATAGGCATGGACTACCATGCCTGGCTGGACCAAAAGTATTTCTTAAGAGAGTTCTCAAAATATGGTAAATAGCAGCATCATTGGAATAAGTTTGCAACATCACAATACTAGGAAAGTTAAATCCTAGCTCTTGCTAGAATGCCTGATTACTGTGGATGAAATGTGGAATGAATATTATCACAAATGGGATATGGGGAAGTGAGGCAAGAGACGTCCAGAAAGATACCCAGTTCTTTAGTATAAAGGAGCTGGGTGACTATAACCTGCCATTACTTCAGTGGAGCACCTAGGAAATGAATTAGGTTTAGAGATCATTTTGAGACACCTTTGAAAGCAAGGGGAGAATAAAAAGTGGGCCATTCGTAATTAGTCATTTCTACAAATGATAACTTGAACCCTAAGAAAGGAATTAGAGAAATAAGTGACTGCTGAGATGCTGGTGGCAAAGATGTATCAGGATGAAGATGCAGGAGAGAAGGGATAAATTAAGCTTTTAGGAAAAACGGGATTGGATGGAAGGGATCACAAGTGACTAGACTGGTTTCTAATGATAAGAGGCTTACTGCTGGAACAAATAAAGGCATTTTTGCCTATCAGCAGTGCCAAATGATAGAAAAGGGAAAGGAGTGTTAATTGCTGGGTGAGGTGTCAGAGCCCCAGCAACAAAAATGTAGGCTCTCGGGTAGTAAGAAGAATTTACTGACAACAGTATAGGTTTGAAAAGGAGGTTTCATTAGATAGAAAGAATGCTGCGGAAAGATGCAGCAGGGTGCTTCAGCAAGAGAGGACTTAGCTTGCCTCAGTGGATTTTTCCTTAGAGGAGTATTTGTAGACCTTAAAGCAGGAGCTTGATGGTAATTTGGACCATATTAGCCATGTAGATAATGATAAATGATTATATTTGTAGATATTTTGGTGCTTTGATGTCAGCAAGCGTTTCACAATGAGTTTTGACGTGTGCATTTGGAGATGTATAGAAACTCTAGTTACTTACAAATTTGGGGGAAAGAAGCCTGGTACCAGATGCCAGCTTTTGATAAAGCTGAGGAAGTCTAATTACTTCTAAATTCCTCAGGTAAGGAATTTTGCCTGCAGATAGTCTGCTTGATGGCCACCAGGTGATCTTCACTCTTATTTTCCCTCTGACAGATATCTTGGTCACATCTTTGACCCTTTCTATTCCCCCATGCTCCTGTGTACCTGCTGCCTATTTGGGTTTCAGGAAAGGGGAAAACAGCACAGTGAAAAGGGGTATCAAGTCTGTCTGGCTACTTCCTGCTGAAAGGGAGCATTGAGGGGATAAGTTGCATTTTTCCCTTTCTTGCTGTCTGTCATGAAGCTCATGGAAAACTTATTGGGGACAGGGAGACACTGGATTCCATTAAGAGACTCCATATAAGTGGAAGTTGCTGTTGCAGGCTGGTATTGGGATTACATAATCATCTGCAGATGAATCATTGTATTCTGGAAAATAGAAGCTTAATCAGAGCATTAAAGAGCCCGGGACCAAATATTAGAAGAAGAATGATGAGGAATAAAGGTCCAAGGAATGGGAGAAGCCAGGTGATTTTTGGCCTAGTTTGGGTTACTTTGAGAAAGTGTGTGTAGCCATGTGGTTTGTTTGAAAATTTCTTGGACATCAGTTTCCACTTCTTCAGACACATTAATGTAGGTGCAATAGATTTGGTTAATGACAGATTTCTCCTTGTTCAGCTAGGAGGTAATCTAGAGCTCTTCTTCTATTATCAAAAAAAAAACCTTTCCTGCTAGTGAGTCTAAAGACTTTTCTAGTGCTGATAAACTTGCACTAGTTTTTGCTAAGCTATTTTGAGGGAGGCAGTAAGTTCCCATAGTGTGATTTCAAGATAAGTACAATTTCCCCAAGGAGCAAGAGTTGTAATAATTCCCACTATTCCAACAGTAAGTCCTAAGGCCCTTTTTCTTCTAGAATGAGATTCTAGATTGGAAGTTATGTTTAAGACAGTGATTTGGGCAATAGCTATTGTACCCAGAGTACAATCATCATAATGAAGAGAATTATCAAGGTGGGATAGGGCCAAAGCTTGAAAAGGGTTTAAATAATGAATAGCAGTGCCACAAAACCATAAGCATCCAGGAGGGGCAGGTAATACATTTTTAAGGCCTCTTGGACTAAGAGGCCATTGCTGCTAAGGCTCTTAAGCCATCCCTGGGATACTAGGTCTAAAGTTTTTTTTTTTAATATGCTATAGGGCACTTGGCCCTTAGAGGGCCCCTTAATCTTGGGCAAAGACTCCCAGTTATTCCCTTTTGTTCATGTACATACAGAAAGAAAGGCTTAGTCAGATCTGGTAGGGCTGAAGTCAGGGCCAAGATTAAAGCCTGTTTTAAAGTGTTTAGAGCATGCCTCATATTAGTCCAGAATACAGGCTATTCCTCAGTTCCCTTGAGGGCTTCATATAAAGGTTTTGCTATGAACCCAAAGGAAGGGATCCATATTCTGCAAAACCCAGCCTTACCCAAAAATGACTGAAGCTGTTTAGTTGCCACAGTTGTGTTTAAGATCTTTACAAGCACTACAAAGGCTTTTTCACTGGGGATTAAAATATGACCCCAAAATTGAACGCTTTGTGTGGATATCTGTGCTTTAGAAGGAGATACTTTGTACCCACAATTAGCAAGTTTGTTTAGTACTAATACTGTATTTTGGTCTGGAACAGCCTTGTTAGGATTACAGATTAGTAAATCATCCACATACTGAAGTAGATTACTATCTGGGAAAAGCTGCAGGAGCTCTTCTGGTGAAGTGTTAATACAGCTAGATGGTGGGGTCTTAGCTGTAAATTAGCCTGTAATTTTGTAAGTCACAACCTAATAATGGAACAGGGCAGCTTGGCTAAAAAGGAGTAAAGCCTTTCATTTTACCAGGAAGTGGCTGTGTGAAACAGCTTCATTGGGGTTTTCCATCAATGCCCATGAGGAAAATGGAGGACTGGCATATTGGGCCATAGTAAATGTTTAAAGCTGAATAACTGGCCCTTGTATCTATGAGTAACATTACCTGTTACTCATACTCAGCCACAATCAGATTTACCCTGTGCTCATCCATAGCGATGGAAAATACAGGGGCCTGGATGGCTTCAAGGCCCCGTCAGTCATCTAGAGGAAGGATGACTGACATTTCAAGAGACTTGATCATATTCCAGGAATAGAGTTAGAGGTGCTTGGCCTTGCCCTTGCCCTTGCCCTTGCCCTCACCCTCGTTCTGCAGGATCCCCTTATCAGGTAGGTTGGTGAGGTTGTTGCTGTCATAGCCTAGAAGGAAGAGGTGGCCCGCCTTCACGAGGGAGGGAGGGACACTCTTCCAATTTGCAGTGAGGACGGGTCCTGTTTGCAGTGAGGACAGGGTCCTAGGGATGGCTTGTAACCTGGAGGTTTAGGACATTCTCAACTTCAATGTCCTTGATTCCTGCAGTAACGACAGGCCTCCCCTTTCTGTTAGTGTTATGGGGATGAGCCTTGGGGTTATTGGCTAACGAAAAAGAAGGAGCATTAGCTGTCTCGTTGTAATTAGCTTGGTGACAGCATTTTCCTCCTCTAATTGAGCCTTTTTTTTTCTTTTTGATGTTTCCTCCTCATTATTGAAAACCTTAAAGGCTGCTTTTAATAAAGCACAAAAGGGAGTTTATGGGCCTTGCTCTCATTTTTGGAGTTTTTGTCTGATGTCCGGGGAAGCCTGACTTATAAAATATATGGCCAGAAAGGGCTTTCAGGGTCTAAATTTGTATATTTATGTATGGTCTCCATCAGTGTAGCTTGGACAAAAGTGCAGGGTTCTTGGCTCCTGAGTGATCTCTCATAAGTTAGAAAAATTAACAGGTTTTATTAGTCTTTTTCCTTCTAACAAACCAGTTATCATATAATCTTGTCTGCCTATCACTGTTTGGGCGGGCATTGGCAGCCTGGTATTGCCAATTGAATTCTGTGTCATGGACAGCTTCTGCCCCGCCTCTATTATTAGGGTTGCCAGCTGAGCTTCGTCCACCCAAGCTTGAGCTAAAGACCATATGCGTTATTTTTCTTCGTGGGAACAGCAAATAATACTACAAATGTGTTTTGCCAGGTTGAATCAAAGGCAATAAAGCCAAACATTCTTGAATGAACTTAGAGGGATCCTGACTAAACCCAACTTGGATTGAATGTGACAAAGATCAGACATTGAAACAGGGATATGAACTGGAATTGTTCCCAAATCTCCATTTGCCAGCTTGTGGAGAGGCAAAATATGTGGGGGAATTTTCTGAGTACTCTGTACTAGTGGCGCATGTGTAACTTCTGTGCAAGTACAGAAGCGTATCTGGATGGTGGAGGCAGGGGATGATTGGGGCATGGAGCAGATGGCAAGAGGTGCATAATGAGTTTTGACACGCGTGCATTCTGGAGATTCTAGTTAGTTTAGAATTCTAGTTACTTTTAAATTTTGGGAGGAGAAGCCTGGTACTAGATGCTGGCTTTAGATAACAGGGAAGTTTAGTTACTTCTAAATTCCCCAAGTAAGGAGTTTTTGCCTAAGGATAGTCTGCTTGATTTTATCTGTGGCAGTTTCTGGGGGTAAAATCAAAGTTACAGGAACAAAATAAAAACAGTAAAACGCTCATGCTGACTGGAGAATGCTTAACGTTTAAAAATAAGTGTTGAAAGGGCCAAGGTCAACGTAGACCGGAAAATAAATGTTTAAAAGTTAGCTATATTTATACAATGAAAACCAAAAAGAATACTTATATGAGACATTTAACATTCGAGGCTCTCCACTGAGAGTTGTACCCCGGCACCAGCTCCAGGAGTCCCGCAGAGCCTCGCTTGCCCCCAGGGCGCCCGGGGCGAGGGTTCGTATGGCGCGTGCGCGCGCCCTCCATCACCCGCTTTCCCTTTCTTCCCCAGGATCCAGCGCGTGCTCGGTTGCCTTTCTCCGTTCCCTGCCGGCCTTGGTCAGGACCCACCACCTACTGGCCATTTTCCGATTTCCTCTGGCCTAGTTGGAGCGCTAGCTCGCGCCTCCTAAAAGCTTTCAGCCCAGCACGCCGAGACCCCTCAGGGCAGCCGGTAGGAACGCAGAGGAGAGGGGGGCCTCAGAGCAAGCGAGGAAGGTGGAGCCGTCACCATGGTGCTGACGTTAGCTAGGGGCAGGGCACCACCGAAGGTTGAATCCGCGCCCTGGCTGCGCGCAGGCGCTGTAGGGGGAAGGCCTGGCACGCTCCAGCCCAAGGAGGGCGTCAGCTGCAGCCCGTCCCCCTGCCTGGGCTTGCCTTGAGCGTTCTGCCGTCGCCGGAGCGAGGAGGGTGTTGGGGGCGGGTGGAGCTGTACGTGCCCAGCTTAGAATACAGGGTTGGGGGGGCTCAGAGAGCACAGAGGCTAGGAGCCCGTCAGAGCGTGTAGCCCAGTGGTGCGAGGGCAGGTGGGAGCGCCGGGCCGTGCGGCGTGCGCTGGTTGGCCGGCTCGCGCCCTGGTGCGCATGCGCGCCCGCACAGCCCTGCGGGAGGAGCGGCTGTCCTCCCTCCGGGTGTACTGGGTGGGAGGTGGAACAGGTCGGACAAAGCCCTCGCGTCGGACCGGTGCTGGAACTGTAAGGAGTAGGAGGGGAGGGGCTCCGGTGGTGCATTCTTGCTCCTTTCGTGGGGAAGCGGGGTCTGAGGGGAGAGCTAAGAGCCACCTTAGCGCAACGTGCTAACTTTTGAATTGAGGCAGAGTGCCAGGGGCGCAGTAACCGCATCGCATCTATATTTTTCACTCGCTTTGAAAATGAGAATGCAAAGACGATTTAGGTTTTATTGTTTGTGAGTTAACGTTTTACCGAGGTCTTTATTTACAGGAAATTGTCACGAACTAAATCTCATAGCAAGATTTAGAAAAGGAAGCCACAGAATCTAGGCTAATTTATCTAATAGTATTTCCTGCTTTTGCTCTTTTTCTTTACCCTTTTCCCCACTCTAAGAAGTACATATTAAACTGAAAAACCATGAAAATTACCGCTTTTATCCCTCCTTGATGTAACTGCTTTCAGAAACCTTACGAGATAGTCACTAAGGGAAGTCACTGTTCAAATGAGAGTGGCATGAGATTAATTTTGTTCAAATAAATTACTTTCAAATGAAAGTTGTGCCAAATGGTCAAAGCTCAATCCTGAGAGCTCTATTTGGCACACACTTTTAGTTATTCTTTCTGTGTTAGTCGAAAGTAATTTAAGCAAAACAAAACGGTTTTGTATTCTCTCATAATTTGGATTTTTCACCGATTTACACATCTTTCCACCAAATTCGGTCTGAAACTGCACAGAAGATATAATGCCTCACTTAGCACAAATTTTAGGTAAAATTAAAAATTTTCATTTTATGAAAAAAGCTATCACTATTAAGTACATTCAAGTAATCATTTACAATGGTTTACATTTACGGTCATTACAAAGTAATCATTACAATGGTAAATAAATTGTATCTTTCGCGGTCTTCTGTCCCCATCCGGGAAGGGCACCATCTCCTTAGAGAAGACCTTCCAGAGCGTCCCCCGCCCCATTCTAAGTGTAGCATCTGGGAGTTTCTCATATTCTGTGTATGTTTGTATTATGCATTTACTGCATTGTTTTATAAAGTAATATATGGTTTTACACTCTCCCCTCCCTCTAAAGGTCTTTTGAGTGTTAGAATTGTCTTAATATTTTTCTAGTCTCTATGCTTTATGCAGGACCTGGCCCTTAAGTGGTAATGAATGGGTGAGTTAAGGACTCAGTGTGCCTCCCATGTCTGATAAGACAGTGCAACCTCTTTAGTTGTTTTATAGCATTTTCTAAATGGAAGTATAGTGGGCTAAGTGCCCTATGGGCAGGAACCACATATGTAAGAATTTGCCTGAAGACTAGGAGCCTGCAGTTGATGTGGATGCCCCAGGCTTTCGGAGCTAGTGTCCAAATGAGAGCACCCAACTCTACTCTGAAGCAGTGTGTCTTCAGTCAGCCCATAGTAATTTGATTTTCTGTGTAGCTAGCCCTGAAAGAAGAACATTAGATCTGAATCTTCTAGTCATTTTAGCAGTTATAATCTCAAAGTAAATTTAAAAGTTGACTTTCTAGTTATCAGTTAGGCCTTCTGATTTAGCTTTCCCAAGGCCCGCATATTTCTGCCTTGAAGTGATAAAATTGGGTTCTGGACTTACAGGGTTGAAGACTAACCCAAGATCTGGGCTTTATGAAGAGGTAAGCAGCCATGCCTGCCAACCTGCTGGACTCTAACATGGTCTTTACTTAGAATTTTAATTTTTTAATCTGAAAAGTACATAAACCATCCAGGAAACAACTAATAAAAGCAAAAATTTGAAATCCTCCTTTGATTTTTAGCATAAATTGAGTATCTAAAGATCCAAGTTCATATTAAATTATTTTTAGGGCCGGGCGCGGTGGCTCAAGCCTGTAATCCCAGCACTTTGGGAGGCCGAGGTGGGTGGATCACGAGGTCAACAGATCGAGACCATCCTGGTCAACATGGTGAAACCCCGTCTCTACTAAAAATTACAAAAAATTAGCTGGGCACGGTGGCGCATGCCTGTAATCCCAGCCACTCAGGAGGCTGAGGCAGGAGAATTGCCTGAACCCAGGGGGCGGAGGTTGCGGTGAGCCGAGATTGCGCCATTGCACTCCAGCCTGGGTAACAAGAGCGAAACTCCGTCTCAAAAAAAAAAAAAAAAAAAAAAATTATTTTTAAAGAATTAAAGGGTAAACATTAACAGATGTCCCAGAATCCTGTGTGGCAACAGAATCAGGATTCCCCAATAGAATGGTTCTCAAACTTGAGTTCACATCAAAATCCCCCCAAGTGTGTTAAAACAGATTCCTGAATCCCACCCAGTTTCTGATTCTGCAGAACTAGGGTGGGTCCCGATAGTTTGCATTTCTCACTCATTCTGTTGCTGCTTTGAGAACCACTGCTCTAAGAGTTCTTTCTTTCTCTCTTTCCTACCGTATCCCTTTCCTGTTTTCTAAAACTGGATCTTGATCTGTCACTTAGTTTTCAGAGCCCATTCTTTAAAAAGAGCTCATAGGACTCCAAAGGGAAACATTGGTTGTTCATTCTTACTCTTAAACAGAACCAGAAAATACATTTTTAGTTTTCTCCAGTGATTTGTATAGGAAGTGATCATCTTAGAGCCATAATTTTGTTGAATGGATCACAGAATTATTAACTAAATATATTTTATGTATAAAGGCATTTTCCTCTAGAAATAGGAACTACCTACCACTGTGGGAAAGAGGAGAATTGCTGGAAAAAGGAAAATTCACATTCCCTATCATTTCTCCTCTTGTTGCTCTTGTTGTTTCTCCAAATAGTAAAAATAAACAATCAGCTATTTTTTAATTCTGATGAATTAAAAATATTTTTCTAGAGAAAATTTTATGAAATTAGATTATTCATTTGTACTTTTTGAACTGTATGTAGCCTTGGCAAAATTGCCTACTACCTTGTATTTTTTTAAGACTTTCAGACATTGACTCCTTATTGTGATAATTCTGCGTTTTTCAATGAAGTTTTACAAAATTTGTTTTCAGATAAAATGTATATAACTGAATGTTTGTTTTTTGTTTTTTTGTCTTTTTTTTGAGACGGAGTTTTGCTCGTTACCCAGGCTGGAGTGCAATGGCGCGATCTCGGCTCACCGCAACCTCCACCTCCTGCGTTCAGGCAATTCTCCTGCCTCAACCTCCTGAGTAGCTGGGATTACAGGCACACGCCACCGTGCCCAGCTAATTTTTATTTGTATTTTTAGTAGAGACGGGGTTTCACCATGTTGACCAGGATGGTCTCGATCTCTTGACCTTGTGATCCACCCACCTCGGCCTCCCAATATGCTGGGATTACAGGCTTGAGCCTACAGTTAAGGCTCCCGGCCTTAACTGAATGTTTTACATGTGATCCAACATTTGGTGGGAAAAAGAATTCTGCCATTTTTTTAATATACTCTGAAATAATAATAGTTGTCATTTTTATGAATTTTCTATTTATCAAATGTGGCTAAATCCCTTATGCATATTATTTCACTTAAGCTTGACAAAAATCTTATGAAAAAGAAAGCCCCTACTTTTATAAGTAATGTACCCCCAAAAACATGTACACAAAGTCAGATGTGGGATTCCACATCCAGAGAACTAAAACATCATTATTAGATTCTAAATTAGATTTCACCTTTTAGAAAAGTCTTATTGAATATTTCTAGCATTTTATCTGTCTAGTGAGCATCAGATACAAACCAAATAGCAATACAGATATTGTTTTCTCATTTGTAATTTTGTATTCTTTATTACTAGTACTAGAATTGTAATTTTTTAAATAAAGACAAAATTCAATAAAATACTCACTAATTTCATTGACTAAATCGTACTCCTGTCTAGCAGAGTAGCGTTGTGTTAGCTCAAAGTATTCTCTCAGTTAATGAAAACTTAAAATTCAGAATTAAAGGCAGTTTGGAGTGGGGACAGTATGTTTATATATATCCAGATGTTTCTGCCATGCTTGCATTTTTGGGAATCCTGATATTCTGCCAAATAATAAGCAAAATAACAGTTTATGGAGAAAAAGCACACATCACTTAACAAAATTTTATAAGAGCCCTAACAAAAACCATAACCCTAATAAACATGCTAGTACAATTAAATCTAGTTTAGACCAGTTTTTATCAAAATTAACATTCTAATCTAGGAGTAGCCTGATTTATCAATCGCATTTTTTAAAAAAGACTTGGAAATCTCTAGCTTTTTTATTTATCCTAGTACATTACCAGATAGTTTGATGAAGTGGAAAATGTAGCCAGACATTATTGCATCTGATAAAATAGATTTTAAAGCAACAAAGATACAGCGGTAAAAGGATCAATGCAACAATAAGAGCTAACGATCCTAACACCCAGATACATAAGACCTATAAAGAGACTTAGACTCAATGAGACAGAAAATTAGTAAGGATATCCAGGACCCGAACTCAGATCCGGAACAAGTAAACTTAATAAATATTTATAGAGCTCTCCACTTTAAATATAGAAAATATACATTCTTGTCAATACCACATCACACCTACTCATAGGTTTAAATGAAATATTGATCAGCCATTATTAATACCCATTTTTTAGAATAAAGCAACATTTCCGTTCTCTCTCTCCCTTTTTCTTCCTCTTTCTTCCTCTCCTTCACTCCTTTTTTTTTCCAAAAAAAAAAACAATGTAGCCAGACATGAAGCCACTAAACATCATCTTAAACCAGAAGAAAGAACACATATCACTAAAGCCTTTTTTTTAAATTATGAAAGCCCACCTCTGATCACTTCAAATCAGTAATATGTTGGGGGAAATGCATGTATAATATCTTTCCCCTATTGATCAATTGTACATAAGCTAATTCACATTAAAGAAACGTTTTGGGGCCAGACACAGTGGCTCGCACTTGTAATCCCACCACTTTGGGAGGCCGAGATGGGTGGATCACCTGAGGTCAGGAGTTTGAGACCAGCCTGGCAAATATGGGGAAACCCCATCTCTGCTAAAATATGCAAAAATTAGCTGAGCATGGTGGCACGCAACAGTAATCCC